TCCAGTGTAAAAAATTAATTTGGACTTAGCATCATGACAAAAAGAACTTTAGAAAATCAATGTCCTGCTGAAAATGTTAGAGAGAAGACAACTTCTTTAATAACTTTTCTCTTTAAGACAGGGATTTAGCTTGTAACAACAAAGATGAGGACATTTGTTTAACAGTAAATAATACAAATAATAAACTTGGTATTATTAATATCAGCATTGGAATTTTAAGCATTGGTCAGCTGTATTTAATTATGTCCAGACTAGAGAATTCAACTGGACTTAGCATCATGACAAAAAACAACTTTAGAAAATTGATGTCTTGCTGAAAATGTTGTTTATACTGAAATGTTAGAAAGAGAAGAGAACTTCATTGACAACTTTACTCTGTAAGATGGGGATTTGGCTCATAGCAACAAGATGAGGACATTTGTTTAACTGTAAATAATGCAGATAATAAAACGTGTATTAAGTAGCTGTTATATCTCGTGCAAGATATAATAAACAAAGTAAACCCAAGTGTGGTTTTCAATAATAATTTTATAATCGGATGTAGGTATGTCAAAATACAGAGACAGAGTCAGGAGTAAGCTAACCGCAATGGTGTTAATAAACGAAGACCTTTTTCTACTGTTTCCTGTGGTCGTACTTTATCGACAACCAGTCCGTCCATTATCGTGAATGGGGAAGTTGGGTTATCTCATCACAACAGTAACTGACGTTGAAAATATTTTCAGAATGTATTTACTTTTATATAAGCAATATACTGTATAAATTTTAGCTCTTAATATCTACCTGTATTAAAGATATTGTTAATAAGAGGTGCCCAGTTGTAATATGCCAAGTGCAACATAATTTTTCATAAGTCCAAAAAATAGAGGTCAGATAAACTTGTATTTGACTGATCCAGTATCATATATACTTTTTTAATGAATTTTTTTATTTCACATCTTAATATGAACTGTTTCACATTCAGCAGCCTTTTATCTACATGGGAGTCCTTGAGTTACAACAGATCCATTCTTATAATTTGTCACAACATGATATCCAATGTAAGTTGAAATATACTTGCAATTTTCTGTGAATAATCACTCACTTATGCTAATGTAATAGTAAAGTAATAATCTAGGACATAACATATTTCTGTGACCTCTTAACGTAAAGACTAAAAGAAAAAAACACATGAAGAACATAAATATAATACATATAATGTCTTCTTCCACCACTCAAAGGAAAATAGCATAAATTGAAACAAGATTAATAGAGATGGCATCATAACCCCAAATCATCATAGGTTAGGGCTGTTGTTATCAGGGATTTACTATATAGATTTTATTAACTTTTTAACCTTACAGTTATTTTTAATTTTTCCAGAGAATTAGGCTTAAATATTGTTTTCCATTCTCATATACTGCTCTCAAGGATAGATCACAAGTTTTCTATTGGATTAATGTCTGAAGAGGCTGATCTTCACTCTTTTAATTTGGTATCTTTGAAACCTTTAGCAGAATTTGAAGGAACATTGCCATATATTAATACATTGCCATGTATTAATACATTGCCATGTATTTAATTTAAAAGTTCTTGCTAGTGAAGACTTACATCCATATCACATTGAAAAACCGGTTCTTGTATGTTCATTGGAGTTAAGCAATATTGAGCCTGGTCAGTACCTAGATGGGTAACTGCATAGAAATACCAAGTGGTGTAACAAATAATGGCTTGGAATTGAAAAATCAGAGAGCCAAGTGCCAATTCCAGCCATGTTCATTATCTTTACTTACACACAAATACCCTCTTCTCCCACCCTCAACTATCTATGGGTTAATTAGTAAGACTTGTATCAGTAAATCATTATCTCCAAAAAATTCTTACAATCTAAAAATCTATAACCTACAAAAATTTGATAAGCTGTAAAAAGCAATCAATCAAACTTGGTTGTGACTTGTACCACTGTAAAAAAAAAAAAAAAAAAAAACACACTTTCAAGAACATAGAATAATTTTGTGTATTTTTCTTGATACTGTCATCAACTTTGCCATGACTTATAATTCTACTGCTTACAATATGAGCCCCAAACATGATTCCACCTCCCTCAAGTTATCTTCAAAAATTGTGTTTGTTGATTATTTACTTGAAAGACTCAACCTTTTAGTCTAGCCATCATGTCCATCCAATGTAGCTCTATATTCATCATTAAAAATTACTGTTGAGAAATCCGTTTTCATGTACTTCTTTGCCCAACTTACATGTTTCTGTTTGGGATGTTAACATAAATATGATAGTTTGGTTGCTTTCATATTTTTTTAGCCAATCTTTTTAATATTTTGCATCTTTCTGTTTACATTTGTAACATGAGCTTTTTTTCTTTTTCGAATATTTTATTGCTGGTCAATCCATTTTTCTTGCTTTTTATCCTTTTCATTTTTCTTAAATATTTTTTGTGACATTTTGAAAGTTAGTTTTGTTTCTTGTTCTTATTCAGCCAATGCTTTCGATATTTTGATTGTTGTGTATCTTTCTAACATTATTGTCATATTGCTCAATAACTTTACAACATCTTGTTTCTCCTTTGATGTTATATCTTATGAACTATTCTAATCTTTATATATCTGAAATTAAAAAGATAAATATTAAATATATATATATATATATATATATATATATATATATATATATATATATATATGATCATTGAGTTACAGAATAAAATTTCATGATGCTATCAAATAAGTTACTGTAATTATTTTTAAGAGATTATCAGCTGAAATTCACATGCTGTATTTATGATTTAAATGTAAGTATACACTGAAAATCTTACCAACATCTGTCAGTTAATACTAATTTTATTGTGAAAACGTTGACCTGCATAATAAATTCTGACATCATATCTCCAGTTAAATTTTTCTTTGATAAATAAATAATATTGTCGATTTCTTTGTACTTCGTTTTCCTTGAGCTTTTTCTTTAAATTTCAATACCTCTTTCCTTGAAATTTAAAGAAGTTAATGATAAAAACAATTATGATTTGAATAAAATAGCTAAGTAATATAAATGAAGCTAAAGAAATACTGATTGGTCAGAAAATTTGTACATAAAATTGAATAAAAGGATCTAATTTGAAGATGAACATGTGCTTGTCCCTCCCTTTGTTAGATTACACAACCATTATACCCTGCTAATAACTCATAAATAATGGACTATTCCGTTTTGATCATGTGGAAAGACAATACATATCAGAGACACTCATTGGTTTCAGTGAAAAAAAAAAAGATAAATAAGTGTTTAACCTCTCCTGCTAATACCTTATGATTAATGGACTATTCCATTTTGATCATGTGAGAAGACCTATCAAAGATGCTACTTGGTTTTAGTCAGAAAATGAAAAAAAAAGGGGGGGGGGATGATAGAAGTGTTTAATGACTGTTTCAGTGAAATAGAAAAAGTTGAAAATTTCAAATCTTTTCATTTGTACCCACTTACTTCTCAAAATAACCAACAGCATTCATATTTATAATTCTTATTGCGATATTTTGTTAAGCACAAATATGTAACGGTGCAATTGGGGAATGTTTATAGATATTTTATTGTTGTAGAACTCACCATAGGCTTATTATATCAGTAACTGAAGAATTAAGAATCACTTGAAATTTTCACAGGTTAGTTATTTACAGTTTTTGAAATTATGCGGAAGCTATGACAAAATGCTTGTCAAGAAATGATCACTATCGGCTGGGCTCGTGGGAAAAAATTCTGATGTCATGGAGGCCAGAAATTTTCTATGACCCCAGGATAGACCTCAATGAAAATGCATTCTGGAGTACAAGATCTACATCTAAAATAAATAGTTGGAATGTCTTCAAGAGAAAGATGTTATGTAAATGTTATACAATTGCCTCACATCAAAAAACTTAGTTTTCTTTTTTAAATTTTAAATTCAGCCATGTATACCTTGTTCTAAGCTAAGAAAAAAAAACATATAAAACCTTCCTACACTTCCAATCCCATGAAAAAATAAAATAAAAACTATGTCTTGCTTTTTATATGACAACTTGAGATATCTGGTAGGTTAACACTATAAAACAACCCATTGCTAATACCTACTCTAACTTCATACTATTATATGAAATCTAAAGGGCAGGGTTATATATAAGTGTCTTTCCTCAACACAAGGCCCTAAACATTTTCCTCAAGGTTGTCAAAGGGAGATAACTCTAGGGGTATTAACTACTAATTACTGAAACATTTCTCTTAAGCAGAATAAGCACGGAAGAATCTTTGGCCTGTCTACATTTTTTTCATTTGCTATTGTGGTATGCCAGTAACAAAGCCATAATAACAATCATTTTTAAGCTTAATGATTATTATTTACAAATAATTATATAAATTCTGTAAATAACAAGTTTAACATTGAGTTGAAGCTACTAATTAGTAACCTTTAAACAAGTTATATTTTTTTTTACTTTTGTTGGAATGAAAATAAAAACATGGCATGATAATAAATATTGCACCTTTATTTTTATTCTCTGTCAGTTAGGAATCTCTTATTTCAAAACAATGTTGGACTTATGGCCATATCACGTTGAAACTCCAATTCTCATATGATCACTGAAGTTAAGTAATGTCAAGTCTTGTCAGTACCTAGATGGTTGACCACTTGCGAATACAATGTTGTAAGTGTGAATGTGTGGGTGGTGTAATGTGTAACAACCTGGAATGAGAGATCAGAGCCAAATTCAAGTCAGTTTGGTTACATTTACTTACATGCAAATACTCTTGGGAATCTTCTCCCACAGCTATGGGTAAAATAATAGAAGTTGTATCTGAAAAATCATTATCTCCAAATATTGTTATTACAATATTCACCCACAAAAAGAAAAGAATTATTCTTACAATCCAAAATGTTTGAGCTTTAAATAACCCACAAAAGTTTGATAAGCCATAAAAAAAAAATAAATAAATCAATCAATTGAATCATTGCTGGGATGAGAAGCAGAACTGTTGGGAGTGGAATGTTAGTCAGTCTTGTAAGATCATGACAATGTCTCTTCCATAAGGTGTGAATTCAAGCTAACTCTGTTTCTCTCTAAACTGAACTGATCTCTCTGTTGCCAAAATAAATGTCCTCTTTCTATCAGCATTAATTAATCTTATGCTAGTTAGATCTTAACATAAATGCACACTACAAAAGGACAATACCAAGCCCTGTCTTGGAACATTTCAGATAAATTAGCAAAAAGACAGCACCAACACTTTATTCTATATTAATTGTTTATGAATAAAAATATCTTGTCCAGTCACTATCTTTACAGATACTATTTTGTTTCCAAAGGAATTCTGAAATGTTCTTAGATGATGACAAAAATCTTAATCCAAATTATTGAACTTATGTGTTGTTTTGTTTTTTTTTGTTTTTTTTGTTAATACTTTTGTTGAGTCAAAAAAAAATTTCAGCAACCCCTCATATGTACCAAAAGCCAAAGAATTGACCAATTGATGCTAAGAACAAATGAAAAAGCTAAGAATGCAGCTCCAAAAGAAACTTCTCAAATTATGTCTTGATTTTCTTTTCAGATAGAATAATTAATGCTGAAAAAAAAAAAAATCTTGAAAATATGATGTCAGAAATATTGTTTTTTTTATTTGCAATTATTGTCATTGGGACATTGATTGTCAGTTCAAAATTAATTTAAAGTATATAAATATTTGATATCCCCACCCCCATACATCTAACCCTTGTGTTGCTTGATTAATTTTTTTCTTCTGGTCTTACTTTAGGAATCGGCTCTCAATGCTCCGTTCCAGCCAGATGATAGTGATAACAAAATGGAGGGTTACCTCTTCAAAAGAACAAGTAATGCATTCAAATCATGGGTGAGGTAAGCAACCAAACTATTTTCCTCTTCTTTGATTTTTATTTATTTTTAGTTTCCAATGTTATTTAGAACCTGTACTATCCAAAAGTTGTATTTATATGAAACCTTTCATAAGCCAAATGACATATTGTTACCAGTGGAACCATAGAAAGATAACATGGACTTGGATATAAGGTTAAATAGTATATTCTCGGAAACATAGTACAAAGGTAAATGTGGACTGGAGAGTACTTTCTCTCACTGGTGTCCTGACACACTCATTCACTCACTCTATGGCTACTACCCGGTGACCCTCACTTGGTGACTCCCCTTTACTCAGAGTTGGTAGCCATATTATATAGGTGTGGAAGAGTCCATTTGTAGGTAGGTCCCCACAATACATAATAAAGAGGTTTCACACTCTTTCAAATAGAAGGTTAGGAAGGGAACTCCCATCAATACTGGAAAGAGCAATAACAGCTACTGGACTTGAGAAACCTATTTTCCTGATAAATTGTTTTAAGAGAAAGATTTTATAAATTTCAACCAAAAATAGTACTAGCTGCTCTATCAATAATGTTTAATATGGGAATGACTAATGTTGCCATGGTGACTGTGAATTGTCAAAAATTAATAAGTGATAGGGTTTTAATAAGCACCAATAGGGTAGGTGGGAATCCCCAAATTATCTTTTGAGTAGGAGCTGGCATCTGAGAACAATGATTACTTGACAATATAGACTAAAGTAATATATTTGGGAAACAACTCAATATTTTATCCAATGATCATGGTGAGATTAGCCATTTCCTTATAAGGAAACATTCAGCATTTATTGACCAAATGCTAAGCATTACTGTCAGTTAAAATGTATAAAATGTTTCTCTCAAAACAGTTTTTCAAGTTTCTCCAGTTTCTCCAGTTCCATAACTGTTATCGATCCTTCCAGTATTGATGGTGATTTCCTTCCTAACCTTTTGTTTAAGGTAGTGTGGAAATCAACATCTTGGTTTTGTTATTGTGGGTTGTTCTGTGATGCTGTGGCCTTATCAGAATGTACTTTATATATATATATATATATAAATTCCCAAGAGGATAGAATCCAGGTAGAGTAAGAATATATATATATATATATATATTCCCAAGAGGATAGAATCCAAGTAGAGTAAGAAAATATATATATATATATATATAAATTCCCAAGAGGATAGAATCCAGGTAGAGTAAGAAAATATATATATAAATAAATTCCCAAGAGGATAGAATCCAGGTAGAGTAAGAAAATATATATATAAATAAATTCCCAAGAGGATAGAATCCAGGTAGAGTAAAATATATATATAAATAAATTATATATATAGGATAGAATATATATATATTCCTAAGAGGATAGAATATATATATATATATATATATATATATATATATATATAATTTTGTGTTAAAAAGACATCATCAACCCCACGTCAGAAATATATAAATTACAAACATATATACAAGATACAACACAATAAACATGAACAGAAATTATAAAAGACTTTCATAAACCTTTCAGAGAAAATTGTATATTTTAAAGAACATATACATGTACATTTTTTTTATCTAGTTTGGTAGCAACATGTCTGTCAGATGGCTGTCCACAGACATCTGCTTATTTTGGCCATCAAAGATGGAAGAGAGAAAAAATTTGATTTGTTTCAATTGGCAGCAAAAACACCTGTTCATGATAGGAGTTTTCATATTTAACTATATTTTTATAATCTAACTTTTTTCTTTCTTTATCATTTTTATCTAAATTTTATTACTAAATTTTTTATCTTTTATTATCTAGGTTTCATATGCTATATAGTCTAGTACTAACGGTTAGAAGTTGTTTAAAAATTTATTTGATGCTATCAGTACAATGTCATTTTCTCTTCTAGTTATATGTGTTATTCATTTTAGTTGATGTTGAAAGTCTTCAATTGATGTGGTTTCTGTTATTTGGTACTGTTCTTTGCTTGTGATATTTTAGTGTCAGTCTACATTATCCAATAAAGGACAGTCCTCTACAAGACCTACAGGGCTCATTTGCTTGGATTCATTTTTAATCATTGATTTTCAGAATGAGTTAGATGCCATGCATAACATCTATATGAGAATTAAGATCTAACAAGGTTATTTAAGTTTTTAGGTTAATGTTTTGGTTTTGCACCATCTTGCAGTATTGTGTGACATTATTCATAGTGCAGACTATTCTGTGTTTAATTTCATTACCTCCCCAAATCAATAACTGATCCATATACTGAGATATTTGAAGATAAAGTTAAATTGCCTTATACCCTCTCCATCACTTTTAAGTAATCTGAAGTTAAGATTTGCTTATCTTTTAAAAAATAAAATGCAATCTAGAGAAAATTAATTTCACAAACATACTTTTTAGGCACTGTTGAATTTATTGAACCAATTAACTCTTTTATTTAATTTTGGCATGATTCTAAATGAGTAGAACCATTTTTACTGACTTTCATACACACAGGAAAAGGAAATATTTGCAGATAATGATTTTATTTGTAAATTTATTGTCAGTTTTTAAAAGAATTTATATTTAATCCAAGATTTTTATTAGGTACTCCTATTTAAAATAGATGCCCTGTTTTTTGGGTTTTTTTTGTTGTTTTTTTGAACAGTGTGTATTACATCTATCAGCTTGCATTGTTTGCATTGAATGCCAGCAAGTAACTATTTCCTTTTATAGTAGATTGAGGGGATACATATTTCAAGGTTCTACTGTGGATGTCTGAAACCTTTCTTTTTAACAATACTCTTTATTTCTTTAAAAGATCATCTAAAAGAATCAAACCCCTATTTTGAAAAATGCACAGCATGAAACTGGCTGTTAATGAGTAAGTTAATCAAAACATGATCAAAAAATGTTGTGTGTGTGTATATATATATATATATACACACACACACATTTATTATAAATAAATGATGTTTTATATATATATATATATATATATATATATATATATATATATATATATATATATATAATAAAAAAACGCTATCAACACAACATAACATAGAAATATAAATAAATATTATAATTCCAGCAACTTGAAAATTGCTTTGACATAAAACTCTGTGCAATTAATGTAAGATATTATGTATATTGTTTATTTTATTATATATATATATATATATATATATATATCAAATAGCTCCATTATGTTACATTGAACATTGTTTTTTTTTCTTAAACTATAGAGTACTTGTATGTATTTTTTTTATACAATACTCACTCGTATACTCACAACCTAAGCATGTGATATTTGTTTGTCTTTCCTTCATCTTTTCAGTTACAATTTGTTAAGTGAGCCAGGTTAATAATATTTCAGCATTCTCTTTTATATATATATTTTTAAAAAATTAATCAGTTTGTCTGACAATCACTAAAGCGTGAAACCCAGGGTCACATACTCACATCTATCCAACCAAATATGTTAGGTCTATCTCTGATATTGAGCACTTTCTAATAAGTACCGCACATATAATATATAAATAATTATACATATATATATTTATTTATATTTATATACACTTTTACATATACACACACACACACACACACACATATATATATATATATATATATATATATATATATATATATATATATATATATATATATTATAAATTAATTGATTTAAAAATATGGTTCCTTCACTACACAGGAATTACCATGTAATGAGAAGGAACCATATTTTTAAATCAGTTAATTTATAATATTTATGCTCTGTAAACTTACATTGAGCACTGTTTTGTAAAAATAACAATATCAATAAGAACACGGATTATATATATTACTGTTCTTTCTTTTTTATATATATATATATATATATATTTTTATATATATATATATATATATATATGTAAATTTATGTAATTATAGATTTCTTTATTTCTTTCTTATATTTCTTCATGAAACAATATAAATTCAAAAATATAACATACAATTTCCTTAATTGTATATCCTGTTTAAAGAATTGTGATCTTTTTTTATTTTTTAAGAAGAAAATTTGCTTAAATTATTAAATGATTTCATAAGCTATAAGGTTGCCTAAACTGAAAATTTGTTTTAAATTGTTTCGTGATTTTATAAACTACAAGATTGCCTAAACTGATACTACTGAATATTTATGATAAAGAGATTCTATAAAGAGTGCTAAAAAGTTTTAAGCTTAACCAAGGTTTTTCTTTTATGTGTCATGTCCCTTCAGGACATAGATAATCATAGCCCTCCACATCCTCCTGTTTCTTGTAGCTTTTAATAAATTTTGTCTCTTTCTAATTTTTTTCAACCCCTGTTCTGCCATCCATTTGCTCAAGCCCATTAAGTATATCACATGTTGCTTTCCCCTGTCAATCTTTCCCTCTACCCATCCTGTGAGTATCAGATTTTCCAATCCTTCTTTCCTCATTATGTGTCCCAGAAATTTCAACTGCCTCTTCCTTATATTGAGTATAAGTTTCCTCTTTGTTTCCAAACCTTGTTGTTGCTCACATGTTTGGCCCATAGTATTCTCAGCATCCTTCTGTAAACCACATTTCTGTTACTTCAAGTCTCTTCATCTTTGAGTAGATTGTCCAGCATTCGCTGCCATACAGGAGGACGGATATCACCTAACAGTTCAGTGCTCTTTTCTTTGTTTCCACTGAAATTTTCTTGTCTCTTAATACTCTGCTGAGCTTTTGGAATGCATCTTTGGCCATCTCAATACGTCTTCGGATCTCAGTGTCACACTTTCTTCCATCTGTTAGAACACTTCACAGAGATTTAAATACAAAAAAGCTTTCTAAAAAAAACAAAAATAAATTTGGATGTTTGGTTATTTGTCAGATTTTGGGAAGTAAGCTCAGCCAATAAGTTTTAACAACCTCCTTATTTCGTTATATTAATTATCAAAACAAGAAATGGGAAATCTTAAAATTAATTTAGCTTGATATCCAGCTGGTTGCACAAACCTAACCCATAAAATGTCATA